CCTTATTTTCCTACATCAGTAATCCTATTGTTTTGCACAGATGTCTGCGCTTCGGTTTAAGGTTATGAACTGACTTTTAATTGACATAAAAAAAATCTTTGGCTCTCTCCTTCTTGCACAGCAGCCAGATGTAGGTCTGGGGCCTTACACAGAGCACATACTGTTGTGTCATTTTTTTCCCCCTCCAAAAAAAAGAAAAAAATCAAAAAGATGTCGGAGCAACTTGAGCAAAATACCATCCCATGAGAGAGATCATTGTGACTGACAAAGAAGGGGCGTACATCTACCACAGAAACCTCTGTTGCAAACAATCCACAGTTTTATATCTGCAGCAGAACATGATCTCCTAGTGGAGCCGCTTTGTGTGGGTATACTATACATTCCTTCAATGCTGCAGAGCTAATTGTTTAACTCTCTGCTTTGTCAGCCACTTTTCTGTCTTGAAGACATCTCTCTGCTGAAATCATATTGTAAGCAGTTCATATAACAGTGTAGCTTGCGGGAAACCCTGACATGGTGATAATGCTTTCGCTCACTCAGATTTGAAACAGGCCTTTATAATTGGAGTATTGATCAGGGAGGCTGAAGGGTAGGATTTTGTAACGACAAATGTTTAAACATGCAATCTAGTTTATTTTCCAATTTGTGAGCTTGCATTAATGCCAATTCGTTAACATCTAAAAGCTCATATAACATGATAAACAGTACTCCCCCCCCAACCCCCTGTGGGTTTCAGGACTATCCAGTCATGGAGCATTATGAAACCCTAGAGGGTGCATCACTAGCAAAACCAAAGGAGTCGGGATGGGGCTGGAGAAACAGGAGCAAGTGAGGATGGGAGAACAGACAAGAAAAAGTTCACATTTTGGAAACTGTATAAACTTGCTTTGTACTCTGTGTACCATTAGTAAGAAATACAAATCCCCCTGACTGAACCTTAATTTGGGTTCCTCTCATTGTAGCTGAGTGCGCCTGCCTCTGTTCCCAGCGCATAACAGCTGAAATAATTTGTTTTGGCCATACTCTGCACCGGGATGCAAGGCGGAAGTCATTGTTTTTGTCTGACAGGCGGCTTTGCTTGTTCTCCGTAACAACCTCCACATCCCTCTCACCCCCCCACCCCTCATCCCCCCACCCTGTCTGCAGCAGCAGCAGCCCTGTGTAATTACAGCCAACCCGTTCCCCTCTCCCCTACGCTTGATATCACTGCTGACATCCACTAGCACAGCCCCTCCTCTCTTTCTCTCTCTCTCTCTGTTTCTCTCTGCTGTTGGAGAGCTCGCTCAAAAGCAAGTGTGCAGTCCTGCCTTGTCTTCATTTGTGTGCGTGGTGCAGCGGGGCAGATGGATAAGGAAAAGAAGAAGAGGGGGAGACAGAGGCAGAGATGAGAGGGGGGGGGGAGAGTGTGGCAGACAGCTGAGGAGGAAACTGTTATCCATACAACAGAGAACGGAAGATGACTGAATTATACAGTGGGATATTTATTCAGAAGACCAACTGTTGGCTGTGGGGTAAGTGAGCAACTAGTACACATCTAAGACTTTGCTCTGGCATGTGACAGCACATAAAACCCAAGTCTTAGCATCTTGGTGAGCTGAAGTTATGATGTTTCCCCTACAAAGATGACATAATTAGACACTGAATAACGCTGCGATGCACAAAGGAGATCTCCAGTATCGACTGCTGCGTACTCTCAGGAGAAGTTCTGAATTGTTTGTGATGAGCAACAACCCTCCTTAATGCCCCTGGGAGCGGAAAAAAGGGAGGCTCCTCTCCTCCTGAGGGTTGAAGGCTGCACCAAAGCCAGATCGAACGCTCTGTGACTCAAATCCACCTGTCACACTCCGTGGGCTGCCGGGTTTCTTATCACAGCTGTGGCGTGGTGGCATGAAATCCAGTGAGGCGGGGGAATCTGATTAAGAGATCAGACTGATAACAGGTGTCTGTGTGTGATAGCGCTGTCATTTGCATGCAGATGTTTATGTTTGTTTTTAAGTGAGCAGGCTTTCCCAACAGCTGCAGCAGTGTGTAACCCAGAGAGACACAGAGACAAACAGATTAAAGACCGACTGATAGGCAGAGATAAAAACTTCTGAAGTGAGAACTAGGGCCGCCATTCTTGAGCCTTAAGGATATTTTTCTGATTCTGTTATTAGGCCAATAATAATGCAAAGATCCCCTCCCCACTCCCAAGCTTCAGGTTTACCTTATCTCCATAAGCTCAATAAAAACTGTTGGTTTGACTAACATGATCAGTAATTTCTAATCACATTAAATGTACTGAATTTAATTCAACATGACTTTTATATGGACAGGAATGTTGCTGTTGTGCCAGAATTTGTTTGGAAGAGACCACTGCATGTCACCTTTTATAGGAATCAAAGATAGTAAACAGTACACAGTAAACAAAATGAAATCACCTGGGATTTGGTGTTTAGTCTCTTTATTATCCAAATGACTGCAAATTAGAGCAAAAGGTTATTTGTTTTCAATAAATCTATCAAAGGACCAGAGAGATAAAATCTCAAATGCTTCACATCGTCTAACTTGAGATTTTGTTTGATCAATTTTAAGAATAAGTGATATTTTTTCTATTTTGTCTTCTGAATCCAACTGGTCACAAATACAGTAAATCACAAGTATTTTTCTGATGTTGTTTGGATGTTTTTATGAATACAAAATGATGAGACTCAATAAGCATTCTCCAGGTAAACACTATTCACTCAGTGTAGAAGTTCATTGTTAACTATTCACACTACAAGTGCTATTCCGATGTAAATTTATGGATATGCTAATTTAGCAAATGGGAAAATAATGGGAGTGAATTTTCATTCTAGTTCCTGATATTGTGCATCCATATTAGCATATGGGCTGTCTGTACTGCAGATGTTAATTTGAAGGATTATGAAGAAAGATGAGCACATCAGGTATGTAGATAGCGTAGGATAGTGCATGTGAAACAAAAGCCACGCAGCATTTGATATGACGCAGAAATTGGGCTTCAGTGAATCGAATTAGTGCAAAGTGCTGTCGTACTTTTGGTGTGTCGGTGAAGGCTTGCAGTGCCCCAGTGGTGCACATGGAAACAGAGATGGAACTAGGAGGAATCAATAATTATCCTTATCAATGGGAGTGTTAGGAATTGGTTCAGACTGGTAACAATCACAGACATTGATTTTATCCCTTTAAAAGCAGTGCATACTGACAGTGCTGGTAATGGAGTCGAAAGTCCAGATCAACATCTCTTGAGAGGAAAGCACATTCTTGTGTGACAAGCAGAGTAAGCTCCAGAGCTTAGGAATACTATGTGGCTATTTTCCAGCAGCCTAATGGTGGTTGTGTACAATTTAATGAAGCTAACCACAGTGGATCTGGTGTGCATAATTCTGCTCTAAAAAATGGACATTACTCCAATTACAAACTACAGGTGGGGCATATGTAAGCATATTCAGATGGTTTTCTAGTAAGTTTACAGGAAGGGAAGGCCTTCGTGGGTTAGTTTGTGGTAATTTGATTCAACACATCTTTATAAGGGCTGTGTGAGCACAGTACGAACTTAAATAATGAAGCTCCTAAACCTAGATTGTGACACAAAATTAGCTACTAATGACCTGCCTTTGAACTTAAGTACAAATGTACAATCATTCAAATGACCAAAACCAAAATACATGTAGTAAACCAGGGGCTTTGGGGGCCCTGGGACAGTTGCCCATTTTACCAGATTGCTAACTGTGTGCCAACAGTCTTCATCCCAACCCAAAAACCTCCTCCCTCTCATTAGTGTTTCAAGTCGAAAGGAAGACCTCATTAGTAAAATCACCTGCTGATCATTTGTTATAAAAAAGCTGCAGACTGTTGGCTCTCCATGGCACGTTTGGCCAACCTTGAGCTATACTTTGCTCTACTGTTCATGATCAGAATAAAAAATGTCTTTGCTGTGCATTAGGATGTGTTGGATAGTTGTATGACCTGATCTCTTTTTCATTTTGGTCATTCATTTATATTGACACTGAACAACAGAAATAAGCACAGAAAAGTTTCTTTAAACAGTGTCACATCCCGGTCACACACCCGCTCAGATAAAGGATGCTCGCTGTGCACCTGATAAATGTTGACAGGTTATGTTTTAAAGATTGATATGTTAACTGACTGACACAAAGCTTATTCCCATGTCCCATCTCACACACAGCTTGTGTTCAATTATTCCTAATGGTTCTATTTGTTCCTCTCTTACAGACACTGGGAGGCATTTGCTGGAATCGCAAACACTGTTTTGATAGTGCAGACTACTGTGAAATCAACATCGCCGGAAAAAGCTGCGAGGCTCATCTGTATGGCGGAGTGGTGGTGTGTCACCCTAAAGAAGCTAAAAAGAGAAACAGAGCCTTGAGGAGTAAACATTCATCTCTGCAGTGAGAGGCACAGGCAGACTGTCCTGCTGCTGTCTGATCTAAATATTCAGAAAAACACAATGTGCATCGAGCCAACGAACACTCCCCTTTTACAGCCACAATACATATAGATTTTTTTTGCCTTAAAATACCCACTGCACTTAACTATATTATGGGAATACAGTAAGTTAAGTCCATCTGTGGACATGAGTAATCATAATCCTATGGATTCAAGCTTCCACAAATAAGTCTTTAAAGAAGACACTGGTGATGCTCAGTCTCACTCGTTTTCCTAACAAAGACATCATGGAACCAACCTAAAATCTGATATTCATATTGACCAAAACTGGACACTGCAGTCCAGTCTCCATTATGGAATCTCAAGAGGGCCTGACAGGACTGTCCACAGCTGCGTTGGTGGCCATCGCCTGCAACACACTTGTTGCCATCCTCCTCCTTCTTCTCTGTCTAATCCTCTACCGAGCCTGCAGGGTCCCCTCCAGCCCGGAGAGGCTGCCGGTGCTGGCTCCCAGTGAAGGAGAACCCCAGCAGATGAATGAGCACAAGTACCTATTGACCTCCTGACTGCAGAAAGATGAGTCAAACGTGTCAACGGGCGATGGCATCGGTGCACTCCTCCACAGGAGAGGGGACTGAGGGGGCTTGGGGACGGAGTGCAAGCTTTAATCCGGTTCGTCCTTCATAGTTTCTAAAGTCCGCTGTCGAGCTGACAGCTGACAAAGATAGTAAGGAGGAATTGAGAGGAAACTATTTTTAAGCAGACATCACTTGTCAGATCTCGTCCCTGGTTTGACAAAGGGCAAGAGGAATGCCGACACACACCGTCTGAAGGAAAAAGACCACGCGGCTGGATGCAGGTTACACATGGACCGAGAGAAAGCAGTGTTCAGTACACAAAGAGCTGCTGGCCTGTTGTTGGAGGTTTCTAAATATAACCTCTTATTTCATACTGCTGAAAAAAAAGAGAGAAAACCAGTCTATTGCTGAGAACAGGGGACTTGAGCCTGTGTGGAGTGTGTGTGTGTCATTGTCACTCATAAATACCAGCAACCTGTGAGGCACAGCGCCTTGCTGAGGGTGTTACATAAGGACCAGAGAGGCTTAGTTGAGATTTGTGTCCTCTTCAATACGGCCCTCACACTGACATCTGCTTGTGGCTGCTCCATGATGGCCCACTCACTCTGGACCGAATCACAGGACGCTCACCTACAGAGGGATTTTATCATATAGAATTCTACACCCCACAACCAATTATCAACACTTAACTTGTATCGCTTGCCGCAGCTTCAGACTCAACAGGGCATGTTGTAGAGTTAAAAGTTTTTATGATGTGTATTTTACAGTACCTTCCGCACTGAGTAAGGAGTAAATAAGAAAGCGTTGCAGAATATATTACTGTTGTGGCTGTTAAAGCTACTATGTGTAGAAAACTTTAGGGCATCCCCAGTGGTAGTACTCTGACAGCACTCCTCCCCCAAATTCCTTTGAAGTCAACAACACGAGAGATACGGAATAAATCAACCCACAATACGTCATCAAGTGATTCCTGGAGCTCACTGCACATCACATAAAATAATGTAAAAGTGGTAATATTACAGCTGTTGCACTGCAGTTGTGTCTTCTCTCTAACCACTTGACCGCTCTTCCAACCAACCCAATCTACAAAAATGCAACATAAACAACTGGGACAGACATTAGAACAAACAGTTCTTTGGCCAACCCTGCAGTATGCCTCCTATTATCACAGAAATGAGGTAACTGCTGGATTCTAAGTAGTATCCGAATCATTTGTTACGCATTGTCTGTAAAAATGAGGTGATCGAACGGCGCTCTCTAACTAAACTTGTGGAGATGAAGTAATGAATCACACTTAAGGGAGAGCGTGCTGCATGTGTTCGCAAGAAGATGTGAAGGGCAGAGGAGCTCTCTGTAGCGGAGAGAGAAAGAAACAGAACCCGGGACACTGTGGCAGCATTTGATTCCAGTTGAGCATCAGAGCACTGGGTGTACTTTACTGAAGGACACAATCATTAAGACAGAGAGGAAGGGAGAGAAGGCAAAATAAAGATGGACACTGCCATGACTCAAAGCAAAGTTCTCCCCGTAGATGGGATATTAAAAGGCTCCTATCTCATCCCTGGACGGGTGCCCAGGACGGCATGTGCCAGCCAAGATAAGTTGTCTGGATGTAGTCCATAAATGGACCCTATTACGCTAATTTATCTCCCCATTCACTTGCCGTAACTCTCCCCCTTCACTTTTCAACTTAATCAACTTGTACAATACATACGAAATGGGTTTAATAAATCCCTGCAGAAGAGGTCAGTCAAGTCAATGGAACTCTAATGTTGCCTGATTAACATGTATCAAGTACTGCAGTATAAATACATGCATTATTAATTGAACATTAATCATTTATTAACAGTTTAAGAGGGACCGCAGTAAAACATTTTTAATAAACATATACAAATAGTTTTGTTGTTATTTCAGTGTTGTTGACTGTTTACAAACTGAGCAAAGGAAGTGGGGATTTTTATGAATGAGAATAAAAGATTGTACCATGTTGCTGTGTTGGGGAGAGAAGCCTCAGAGGCCACGTTAAACTGTGCTTTGCTCTGGTTCTCTCAACAGGCTGAGGAGCTTCTCCATCTTGGCTACTTCCACTTCAGGACCCTTAGGCATTTCTTGACCCTTCTTGCTCTACACACACACAAGAGAGAGAGAGAGAGAGAGAGAGAGAGAGAGAGAGAGAGAGAGAGAGAGAGAGAGAGAGAGAGAGAGGAATAAGAAATGACTTGACTTCACACTTTCCAAGCACTGGGAGAGACCACAAACCCAGCAGGCAGGCAGTTAACAAGAGGAGAGCACAACATAATCAGACAGAAAGTGAAATGGATATAAGGTCAATAGTTGAACAGTAGTTTTATTACTCCATTATTTAATAATTTCTTTCCACCATATTGTGAAAAGTGCTACCTAAAGGGCACAATTGCAAAGGGCAAATTCAAAGACATCTTCTAATAAATACACTACTGTGTGTGCAAAAGCACAGCCACTTAAGAGCTATATAATGTGGCTAAACGTTTGTCTTGTCCTGCTGCAGGACCTCTTTCTACCTCTGTTAAAGGATATTTAACAGGCCTATTGTTACTCATTTACTATTGTCTAAGTACTATTGTTAAGTCTTTTCTCAACTGAACTGGACTTTGATTAAAGAAGCCTGATATAATCTTAAAGTTCAACATAGCTTCACTTGATTTTAACCATCCTAAATCAGGAAATAACACATATAAGAGCTGGGAATTTAAGAGAATAAAACGCATTACAGCTGTATGACCACTGTGCAACTGGTGACATAATCATGCCACATTTTAAGGTAGTTATATTAATTTATTATATATAATTAGCTGTATAATGATATTACAACTTACCGGCTATGCTGTACAAATATGATGGACGATATTATTGTTCATACTAATAGAGACTGGAGATTCTCAGGTGGAAGAAAAAGCAAAAAAAAAAAAAAATGTGTAAAAAAAATCTAGCAGTGTAAAGATCTTATTACTTATAACTTACTGTTTAACAACTATTTATGTAAGCAGTGAATCTATTTACCTGTCTGGCTCTCACCAAGACATCCAAGAAACTGGCACAAGAACGAAAATGAAAGCAGTCCACAACTCATTTGGGTTTATTACAGAGACAACTGGAAGGATGCATCAAGATGCTTCCTGTGGCCTGAAAGCTTTTTCACAGCAGACACTTGCTGGCAGAGGAAAAGCAGCAGTGTAACTAATAAAATGAATGATGGCCCATTATATTCAAGCGTCCCGGTAAGTAATTCTAGCGAGCCAAAATGCACATTACACAGGACCCTGGAACTAAAAAGGTCTATTCTAGTCAAGTTTTATTTAGTGTGTTCACACTGGATAAATGACAGCATGAAGGATAAAAATACTAGTATGCATACTAAAATACATTAGTGTTGGTGGACCATCCCTTAATGCAACAGACAGTGGAAATACACAGTCATAAACTTTTAGCCTTAATTTGATGTCTGTGCAACTTTTATCATATCCTGCTAGCATGGCTCGTATTAGTATGGAATTGGGACAGAGTGAGAAGTGTGAAACCTCTATTCACTAGTCGAATAAATGAGGGGTGTCTTCTAACTCCTCCTATGAAGCTTAGAAAATGTATATCTATATTTTGATGTAGCTATTTTGAAGTGTGAAATGGATACAGCGAGGGGGCTAATCCAGACAGACAGCTGCATTCCCTAAACGAATGAGCATCAAACCTCGATGCAACATAATATCTCTGACATGATGAATGGCTCAATAAAGCAGAGGAGAGAAAGGCTGACTAACGCACACAACAGCACTTAAAATTAATAAAACTTCAAGTTTAATCAAAATCATTAAAATTCATTATCTCTCGGGATGTCAACCCTTGTTCTGATTTATTTTCTAAATTCTTATTTTTGCTTGCTTTGCTTACAGCGACAGTGAAATCCCTTTGCTGTGTCTACTGCATACAGATAGGAAGCCCCACCTGAGTTGCAAGGCTCAGAAATTTATGTCTGTTAATTTTCTTGTACTCAACATTAATACAAATTCAAATGTTATGATAGACATTATATTCTGGGAGACAGTAGATATTAACAGACAATAACAAAATATTGCATAACTGCCACTTGTGGTTTGCGGGCAGCAAAGAATGAGGCCACTGCAAAGAGATGAGCAGATGAGATGAACACATTCATGCTGCACACAGTTGAACAGAACAGCGCGTTGTGTTGAACACAGACGGGTCATTTGGTGTTAGTGGTCATCGAAAGCTGAGGAACTTTTGCAATGTGTGTCTAATGTACACTATCATTTCTTTACAGTTCACTTTCAGGTACTTAATATGCATTATGTGAATTGTGACACACTTTCAGACCAGTTTTAATTAGAACGTGATGACTGCACAAACCTTATCTATCACAGCAGACTCTTGTTTCACCTTAGACTTTCAAACATTTAAAGCACCACTGGCTAGTAACAAGGGACATGGACTCTTGGGCCCACACAGACCCTCCACGATTAACACCACATATCCACAGGCCTATACAATTCTGTGTGTACAGCATAACAGCACGTACACCTGACACTAGCTCATTAGGGACTGTAGCCCTTAGGCATACAACTAGGAAATAAGTGCTCGGTTCAGTACAGTGGAGAGCACTCTGCACATTTTAGAAGATACTTTGGCTAGGTGCACCCTGTAGTAAATGTCTGTTTCCTGGCACTTTTTTTGTGAAGCAAAAAACAATGAATTAAAAACTATTTGAGCAACCCTGCAGGGTATAAGAGGTCAAGTGGACTGGAGTAGTTTAGTGAGAGTAAACGAGCCAAGAAGTTGTCTCATTGGTCTTATCGAAAGCCCTTGAAATGTAGGTTACGGTTTGGATTGCTAGGCCACTGTGCCAATGGTTTGGGTATATTCATGGGCCACCATGCCCATTGTGCTGGTTTTAGTAGGCTGCTGTGCCAGTTTTATAAGACATATTATTGATAATATTTGCTGTGGGTGTTTGTGCCTGATGCTTATTTGCCACACAGAGCACTGTCAGTGGTGCTGAACTGTGCAATTATTTCCCAATTGTATGCTTTAGGGCTACAGTCTGAGGTCGCTAATGAGGTAGCTCTGAATGTGTGTGTATGTGTTGTTATGCTGTACCCATACAAACTGTGTTTATGCGTGTGGTGAAAGGAGAACTGTTTATGTGTGTTGAATCCAGACGTGTCAGTGCCGTGTATAATGCATAAAAACGTGTTGTGAAAATAAATACGTGTTACTCGAGTCATTTGAATTTCTTCTAGTTTACATGCATCAAATGTGAACAATACAAAAAGAAAGTGAAGAGGCTGCAGAGCTGACTGTAAATGGGCCCTGATTAAAGTGTTGTGACTCAGTGTGCCATTTGGTTTCCTCCTGTGTTTAGTAGGACCGCTGTGATTACCCCGCAGCTCATTAACCATTGCCATGAGTGGCAACAGATCCTTCGGTGACTCATCAATTGTGAATGGACTAAAGTGGAATACAACTTGCTTTGAATACGAAATGTATTGTACCTTTCTATTCCTCAAGATTTTCCCAACATTACGTCTTGGCATTTGTTGCCAGCGTTACAGTACTAGTGCCAGGCAATATGAGGAGACAGATACGGGGATGACTTGGGTACCCTTGAAGCCAGGGTGGCCACGGTTATGTGATAGGCCTTTTAAATCACTGGGCCATCAGACTTTATTTTATCTTACGTTTTAGGTTGATTTCAGTAAAATTTCCAATACATAACAATTCTGCTTCTTTCTAATGATCTTTTCTACCACACTTATTCAATTACAAACAATACCCGATGTTTCTGTGGCTAATTGTTAACTGGCCTAAATACAGACGATTAGGGATACTGGTAATGAGCTGCTGAGGAGGAGGAGGGTGCGTGGCCTCTATTCCATTGTTATTTAGTGAAATTAGCTTGAGGTCAAGAATGAATCATCTGATCTGCTTTCATTGATGTGGAACAAGTGACAGTCATAAATAATGCAACAGGGCAGGCATGCATCCAAGACTGTTTACAGATAAGACGGTATATTAGGTGAAAGAACACAATAGGCCAATGGAGTGCAATAGTAACATTGCAGAACACACTTCTGCATGGTCCTGGAAGTGGTAGAAGATTTGGTACCTAATTTGTAATGTGGACAAGCTTCATTTGTAAGTGCCAATAGAGCCTAATTATAAAGACAAAGCAGCAAGAGAAGAAACATGGGATGGTAAAGCAGCTTCACTTGGAAAGGCAGGTTTATCTTCTTACCACTTGTTGGCAGGCTTAATACGGGCCTAGCTTTGCAGTAAATTAGCTCAAATGATTTTAATGGAATTGGCAACTTGATAAGACTCTTACCTTGGGTTTCTTGCGGAGGTTAGGGGAGAGTTTGAGGCTGGTGACGTAGCCTCTGTCATCACCCACTATGATGATCGGATAGATTGGATTAAACTCAATGTGAGTCAACTTTGTCTTCTTTTTGGCCACCACTGGCTGCTGGCAGATGGCCTCATATTTGTTGATGTTGAGGTCAAAAACATGAACCTGAAAAAAATCAGTGATCAAAAGAATTAATGTGTTGTTTTTTACAGTTCTGACCCTGTAATTGAACTGACATTTCAGGCCATTAGCAATAACACTGACTGAGGTTTTAAATATTAATCCAGTAAAATAAGGGACCCATCTTATTGACTGGTAGGATGGAGGAGGCATGTCTAAAGAGAGTAAGTAAGTAAAGGGGTAAATCAGCTGTTACAGACTGCCTTTTCACATCTTGTTTGTGTTGTTTGTGTTGCTTTTCATGTGAGAAGGAGAATAGAGGAGCTAAAGCCTCTGCAGGGATGCAAGCCTGACCATCTGGTGCAAGGAAGGGTGTTCCCAGTAATTCAATGAGTGTGCACTTCAGTCCGTATGTGTGTGTGTATGTGTGTTTGGCAGCCACAATACAAAATCATAGGCATCGTTATCCAGAAGGAACCAGATCACAGATATTCTTCTTTCAGCCTAAGTGCATTTAGAGAATCCGTGGACAACAAATGAGCCCACTTCAAAGCGCAGCCCACTCCTTTTACCAGAAAGATGACTGTGCCCGGGTCGCTAGGGTTCACACTGTCTATGTGCAACAGCACCACACAAAGCATCGCAGTCATCACTTGCAACCAATCATCGTACTGTGCTAGGGTATGACTTTTTGTAACCTCCATCACTGCAGCCATTATCTGTGCTTTTGATTTATAAGCATTAATGTAACATTAGTCATGAGTGACTGCAGTACACAGTCAATACACCGGAAATTCACGCAAGAACATGGAGCAAAGAGACATTTTACAGCATTGAAATGAATGCCCATAATTTATCATTACATATTGTATCTTCTTTCATTTTAATATTTTATGTTAAATTAGTTAAATTATTTCTTCAATTAAAGTATCAGATCTTAAAATCTAGCATGAGCTTATGCAGGTATACTAACTGAAATGTTTGGCAGCTCCTGTGCAGAAGGTTACGAGGAGCTGCACAGAGAGCAAATATGGATTTGGAGACTTATCACTGGGGGATAAGCCTGGACCTCTCATTATTTCATCCTGACACTTTATTTCCTCAACAGTCAGCTCAGATGGAGAGGCAAGGACAGAGAGAACGAAGAGATATTTGTTTGCAGTGGCACAACTCAGTGTCATTCTTACACCTCAGCCTGCCAGGCAAGTCATTATCCTTATGAACACATGTACACACGCACGTACGCACACACACACACACACACACACACACACACACACACACACAAACACGTCCGTGATTGTGTCTCTGACATTTTACCGTGTTGCAGCAGCAGGCAAGGTTGTCATCAACAGTAAATACACGTCAAGCAGCGCACAACTCATGCTGAGTCACTCAAGCTCTATCAGACACTTGTCACAGAAAAGAACAAATGCACTGCAGAGAATCTGCTATCCTGGGGACGATTTTGTCTATTAACATCATGCACTGGGACCGCACCATTGAATGTGGGAATTCTGGCAATATCCTGTAATATTTTTAAAATCTCACAGCAACCAAATGTCATGTAGAATAGTTATTTAGTGGATCCAGTTAATTCTGTTTACAGGCTATATTTACCCTACCTTAAAATACTCGTATACCTAAATAATTGCTTCCGTCAACAAAGCCTGAGCTATTTTTGCCCAAGCGCATGCTTAAAACCCTACTGAAATGATGTTCAGTTCTGAGTTCAGCACACTGACCTTGATAGACTCCAATTTAATATTCTTGTCCTTCCTGCTGCTTAGAAAGGACAGGATATTGTGCTTGTAAAATGTATGCCAACTGATGAGCTTTTAATGAGTTTTTTAATAGCTGCTTTTGATCTACTTTGAGAGAATAAATTACCATAGTTACAAAAAGGGCTGGGACTTGATATGCTTTCTAGCAAAGTCATTTCATTAATTGTTTTTTTTTGCTGTAGAAGATGTTTACAATTAAACAAACTGATGGTTTTATTTTGGGTAAAAACATCTGCTATATGAATTGCAAGTTATTTTTATGCAACTTGTATCCCATAAAAGCGGCATTTGATTTACAGCTTCCTCTCATCTATATCTTATCAAGACTCATGGTTGTGAAATAATTTGCATAATCGTTGGTATACTACAGCACTGTATGTATTGTGCCTGTGGTGACAGGACACACATACGCACGCTATCACATAAGGTGTCTCTCAATTGCTCGGCTCTCATTTCCTCTTTGTCACTCTCACTCGACTTCACTTGGCACACTGGACAGGAAATGTGTCAGACACAACACTCTGGACTTTGTAGCTCGGTGCAGACTGGTGCGAAGACAAACAGATGGGGACAGCTTGCAGCCATATTAAGAAAATATGTGAAGATAAGCAACATGGGATCCACTGAAATTACTTTTGGCTGGAATCAATAACCTCTGGCAGGGCAGGAAGCCGCCTTTTTACAAGAAACTGTGTTCGAACAAACTCAATTTCCTAAGGCTATTCTGCATGAATCTGAGGCTTAGCCTTATAAATATAGTAAGGGTTTAGTCAGCTGAGTCTATACTATAAGGATGATAACGAACTGGGTGGCAGGTGGTAGATGGGGCAGCTGTTTGTATTTTCGCATATTCTGTCAGGTAAGTGTCAAGCTCATGTTATCTTAGGTACACAGCAGATGTGTGGTGGCGATAATCATAGCCTACAGACAAAGCATTCTATAGGACCTCATATACATCTGAGACTGGTTACACACACAGTCTGTATCACCTAGAGCCATGAAAATATCTTATATTTCATCTGAATATTTTTGATTTAATAGCATACAGATCATTATCAACGTGTTGAAACACTTTTATTAAGTACAACTCGCTAAAACTAATATAGTACCACAGTCCTGAAATAAATCCTGCCTTCATGAAGGTTATAATGTTCTGTTTTTGTTGAGATTGTCAGTTTTTGGTGCTGTTGAGTTGTGATGAATTATATTGACAGGTGTTTCTATTATTTTGTCCACCCCATTTATATTAATTATATTGCCCAACTCTACATTCTGTACCACACGTAATCAGTACAAAGTCAGCTTTCTTCAACTATAAATGTAACCCACTGGAATGTACAATCAATGATGTGAGATTCTTAATACATCTGAGCATAAATCATGTACTGTAGATTGATCCAGAGTCTTCTGAAGGCCAAAACAAGCAAAAAAAAAGTCAAATATGGGCTGCAAATTTAAGTTTAGATGGACACTTACTGTTCCATCTGTTGTGACAGCAGCAAATACAGTGGAGGAGTATGGAGACCAGGCAACATCACCAACAGCGGCAAGCAGGTCAAACGTGAACATTGGAGTGCTGGAAAAAACACACAGACATCCAAAGTCAGACAGGAAATCAGTAACTTTTCATTACATTTAATTAAATAAATGAACAAGAACTTCTACTCATCAGCTTACGTTGCTGTTTAGAGTGTAGTGTCAGAGACAGATCTATCTAATTCTGCATTACAGAAGCAACTACATTTTGTTTCTATGTTCAATGCATCTTTAGACTGCCATCCATGGCAATCAGTTACAATCCGTCCAGACCCTGAAGCCTCATCAGAGCCTGGCAGAGTATCGGGGGGAGATGAAACAGAAACCTTCTGCACACTATTTCCTCACATTATTAACTTGTGAAACACCACAGGAAGGAAGATGAAGAAATGCAATATTTCTAAGAGTTGAAACCAGACACATACAGGTCGTCT